ACAGCTCTGGTCCCACCTAATGAAGTCCCAAAAGGATGAAGCTGTTCCAAATAACCGAACTGCATCCCAGAGCAAAGTTCAAGAATATTTATAAGAATACAAAAATATCCAGAATCCAAAAGCATAAAGCCCACAGTGTCTGGAATGCAAAGAAGCAGGAAAGTATGACCCACAATGAAAAGAAAACTCAATTAACCAAAACCAGCCCAGAAATTAGGCAGATTATAGAATTAGTACACCAGGACTTTTTAAAACGTGTTATAACTGTGTTCCATGTGTTTAGGAGGGTAGAGGGAAGATTGGGCATGTTAACTACAAATATGGAAGCTATAAAGAAGATCCAAATCAGGGGCGCCTGGCTGGCTCAGTCAGGGGAGCGTGCATTTCTTGATCTTGGGGTGATGAGTTTGAGTCCTGCATTGGGTATAGGGATTACTTAAAAATAAAATCTTTAAAAAAAAAAAATCCCAATCAAACATGTCTAGATGAAAACTCTAACGTCTAAAATGAAAAACACGGGGCGCCTGGGTGGCTCAGTCGTTGAGCGTCTGCCTTCCGGCTCAGGTCATGATCCCGGGGTCCTGGGATCGAGCCCCACATCGGGCTCCCTGCTCCGCGGGAAGCCTGCTTCTCCCTCTCCTGCTCCCCCTGCTTGTGTTCCCTCTCTCGCTGTGTCTCTCTCTGTCAAATAAATAAAATCTTAAAATAAATAAATAAATAAATACATAAATAAATACATAAATAAAATGAAAACCACACTGGGTGGGAATAGTAACAGATTAGTCATTACAGAGAAAAAGATTAGTGAACCTGAAGACATAGCAATAGAAACTGTTCAAAATGAAACACAGAGAGAAAAACAAAAAATAAAAATAAAAAAACCAGAGCATCAGTGAGTAGTGAGAGAACGTCAAGCAGCCAAATATATGTGTAATTAGAGTCTCCACACAGAGAGGGCGATTTTTCAAAAACTATTTGAAGAAATAATGGCTTAAAAATTTTCCAAAAATGATGTAAACTATAAACCCACAGATACAAGAATCTAGCTCTAAGCACAGGAAACAAGGAGAAACTTACACCAAGGCACATCATAACCAAATTGCTTAAAACCAGTAAAAACATGAAAAATATTAAAAGTGCTTGCTTAAAACCAGTAAAAACATGAAAAATATTAAAAGTGCTGGGAGAAGAAAGGACAGAAGAACAAAAGAAAGGGTGGCAGGAATTTTTGTTGGAAACCATACAAGCTAGAGTGCAGTAGGGCAATATCTTTCAAGCAGTAAAGGAAAAAAGAACTATCTACTTAGAACTCTTTGCCCAGTAAAAATATCTTTCTAAAATACAGGTGAAATGAAGATTCTTTTTTTTTTCAGACATTTAAAAGCTAAGAAAATTAATCACCAGCAGACCTATCTTTCAAGGAATGTTGAAGGAAGTCCCTCAAACCAAAAGGAAATAATACCAGATGGCCATCAGTATTTATACAAAGAACAGCAGAAATGGTAACTGTGCAAGTAGATAGAAATTCTTTTTTCCTCATTATGTAAATCTCCTTTAAAAGATAATTGGCTATATCAAGCAAAAATAACATATATCGTGGGATTTGAAATATATATAGAAATAAAACATATGACAACAAAGCACAAAGGCCAAAAGGGGAGAAATAGAAGTATTCTGTTGTATAAGGCAAGACTCTTGTATGGGGCAAGTATACTGTTGTCTAGGGCAAGACTCTTCTAAATGTACATGAAATTGTGCAATATCACTTGAAAGCAGATTGTATCACATTAAAGATGTATAGTATCAATCCTAAAGCAGCCACCTAACACAAACAGTCGTGGCTAATAAGTTAAAAGGGAAATAGAATAATAAAAATAATGACTTTTTCCAAAAGAAGGCAAAAAACGAGGGTAAAAGGGATGGAGAAAACAAATTAAAAGACCATAGATTTAAGTCAACCATATTAATAATCACATTAAATGTAAATGTTATAAACACTTCAGTTAAAAGGCAGCAATATTCAGAATGGATGAAAAAAGGAAGACCCAACTGTAAGCTGTCTACAAGAAAAGTATTCCAAATTTTGCTTAAAAACAAAGATAGATTAAAAGTAAGAGAATGGGGGGTGTTCTACTGTGAAACTACTAATGAAAGGAAAGCTCCTATGTCTGTATTATATCGGACAAAACAGATTTTGCAGCAAGGATTATTACCAGCCATGAAGAAGATCATTATAACGATAAAAGGTTCAAGTCATCAGTAGGACAAAAACATTCTAAAAGTTTATTTATTAACAGAGCTTCAAAATACATAAAGCAAACACTGATGAAAAAAAAAAAAGAAATGGCCAAATCCACAATTATAAACTGATAGTTCCATACCCCTTTCTTTTAAAAAAAAAAAAAGGATTTTATTTATTTATTTGACAGAGAGATAGAGAGCGAGCACAAGTAGGCCGAGCGGCAGGCAGAGAGAGAGGGAGAAGCAGACTCCCCACTGAGCAGGGAGCCTGATGCGGGGCTCGATCCCAGGACCCTGGGATCATAACCTGAGCCGAAGGCAGACGCTTAACCGACTGAGCCACCCAGGCACCCCTCCATACCTCTTTCTTAATAACTGACTGAGCAAGCGGAGAGAAAATCAGTCCAGATATGAAAGACCAGAAGAACACTATCAAGCAACTTAACCCAATTGCTATTTATTAAATACTATCCATTAGTGGCAGCATTACATTCTTTTCAAGAGCAAATGACACATTTACAAGGTAGACCATATTCTACCCATTTTTAAAAGGTCTCAATAAATTTTAAAGGATTCAAATTATTCAAAGTATATCATCTGGCTGCAATGGAATTAAATTAAAAAGTTAATAACAAAAGATAACTGGGGGTTCTTGGGTGGCTCAGTTGGTTAAGTGTCTGACTCTCTGTTTCAGCTCAGGTCATGATCTCATGGGTCATGGGATGGAGCTGCAGGTGGGAAGTCATGCTCAGTGGGAAGCCTGCTTGAGATTCTCTCCCTCTGCCCCTCCCCTGACTCATGTGCATGCGTGCACGCTCATTCACATGCATGCGCTCTCTCTCTCTCTCTCTCTCATTAAAATAAGTAAAGCTTATAAAAAAGAAACATATCTGGAAAATCCTCCAAGTATTTGGATATTAAATAATACACTTCTAATAGCCCGTGAGTCAAAGAAGAAATTAAAAGGGAAGTTAGAAAGTATTTGAACCAAATGAAAATGAAAACACAAATATCAAAATGTCACATGTAGTTAAAGCAGGATTTAGACTTTCAGTGCACTAAAACACCTATATTAAGAAAAAAAAAAAGGTCTCAAATCAATGACCTCAGCTTCTACCTTAAGAAACTATAGAAACAGGAGCGCCTGGGTGGCTCAGTCAGTTAGGTGTCCGACTCGATTTCAGCTCAGGTCATGATCTCAGGGTCATGAGGTGGAGCCCCACATGGAGCCTGCTGAAGATTCTCTCTCCCCCTCTCCCTCTGCCCACCGCCCTCCCTCCCTCTCAAAAAGAAGAAGAAGAAGAAGAAGAAGAAGAAAGAAAAAGAAACCACAGAAACATTTGCACAACATTGAACTGTACTCAGAATTGGTTACGATGGTAAATTTTATGCTATGTATTTCTTTTACCACAATAAAAAATAATGTGAAAAACCAACAAGTAGCTGTGTGTAAAAGAAACCAGACACCAAAGTATATATGCTGTTTAACTCCCCTTTTTGTGAAGTTCAAGACCTAGCAAAACTAATTTATGATGGTAGAAGTCAGAACAGTTGTTTTTCTTGGGCTGGGTATTGACTGGGAAATGACAGGACAGAATGTTCCGGGCCAACAGGAATGATCTAGCTCTAGAGCAGGGCTTGATTATACAGGGGTATAGGAGTGCAAACAGTCATCAAGCTCTCAGCTTCATACTCTTACAGAATGTATCTTATACCAATATAAAAAGGTAATCGAAAAAAACAAAACTATGGAGACAGGAAAAAGATCAGTAGTAACTAGGGGTTGGTAGGGGAGGGGGAGGGGAGGAATGAAGAGGTGGAAACAGGAGATTTTTTAAGTCGCTTTTGCAACTATTCTGTAAGATATTGCAATAGTGGGTACACGGCATGATGTGTTTGCCAAACCCAAAGACTGTATGGACAACACAACAGCCAGGCTTAATGTAAACTGTAGATTTTAGTTAATAATACTGTATCAATATTGGTTCATTAACTGTAACAAATGTACCAAACTAACGCAAAATGTTAATAATAGGGCAAATTGGGGATGCCCTCTGAAGTATCTGACTCATGATCTCAGCTTAGGTCTTGATCTCAGGGTCGCAAGTTCAAGTCCTCCATGGGGCTCCACGCTGGGCATGGAGCCTACTTAAAAAAAAAAAAATAATAATAATAATAATAGGGCAAACTGTATAGGAGGAAGGGGGGTATATAAGAATTCTCTGCACTGCTCAATTTTTCTGTAAACCTGAAACTTCTAAAACATAGTCTATTATATATTTATACCATATATAAATATTTATATTAATACATTGTTTAAATATTTAAATACATTGTATATGACCGTGTATGTTAATATATTATTTGAATATATTTAGATATTTAAATATTTATAAATACGTATGTATATACACACATAGCTATCACAATCAATAAAGAACTCAAAAAATGAGAAAGGTCTGAGGGAAACACTAATGTTTCAAGAGCAGTTGTCTATGGATGGCGAGTGCATTGGTGATTTTTTTTTCCCTCACTTTTCACTTTTCTGTATTTTCCAAATTGTGACAATAAATGGGATATCATCTCAGGATGGAAAAATACTACTCCTCTCCTCTTTTTAAACGCTCTGTTGAAACCAGATGAGCAGAAAGCAGACACACACCTAATTCAGCGCGTGACCTTCTTTTTCAGCCCGTGTCACAAGTTGGGGAGCTCACTACCCCCCTCCTTTCTGTGTTTACTTCCTGCCAGAGATAAATAATGAGTCAGAAGCAGGACTGGCGGGGCGGAGGCTGCCCCCGGCTCTGCCTGACACACCCTGCCTTGGCAGGAGCTCCTGAGTAGATCTGGAACTTTGCAAAAGTTTGTTAGGAAGGAACCGATTACTACTGCATCGGGGACATGGGGCTCGTTCATTAAGAGCTGGCCCCAGGCGTTGCTCACAAAACAGATCTTTTTGATTTTTCTTTTGTCTGGGTCTGAGAACGGACCTTGTTTATAGGGAAATTAAATTTTAAGGACAGACGGGAGTTTGCTTTCTAATGATGAAGCCCATAACACAAATGTTTTCAGACACCCGTGGGAGCTCAGCATAATGGCTCTGAGCCCAGGCTTCTGGGCAGCACCAAACCCAGCTGGATTCCAGTCCCCACCAAGCCACGCTTCGTCTGTGTGAGGGGCACGTTTCTTCACCTCCCCGGGCCCCAGCTTCCTCGTGGCCTTCTGGTCATCCGCAGGCGTCCACCCTGAGCGGCAGGTAAGCTGTGGATTTCGGCCCTGGGTCCCACATCCCGCGTGCAGGTGACTCCGTGGCAGGCAAGGCTCAGGGAACATCTTCGCCCAGCCTCTCAAGTCCACTATTTCATGTTTCAAACCATCTTTCTACCCTCCCCTAAGCTGCTGCTCCCCAAACGCCAAGGATTTCTGTGCTAAGTGAGAGTTTGTATATTTGAAAAAGCCAAGAGGTTGAGCTTAATGAGGATGCTCCATCCCCTCTTTCCCAGACTTAAAGAAGTTCTGGAATTCTCTACATAAGAGCCTAGTAAGTCGATACCTTCCTAAATTCTGTATTTCCTCTAGCCCCATAATGATGACAGCTCTTCTCTCTGCCTGGAACCGTCTCCTTTCCCCCACAAAGCCCTATTTCTGTTTGGTTTTGAAGACCCAGCGGCAAGCCTGGTCCTTCCGGAGCACTCGCTCCCTTCCCTCAGCAGAGCCGGGCCCTCTCTGCCGCCCCCGTGCTCCCATAGAGCCTGCCTGCAGCGCTGAGCTTTCCTAGAATGATTTGTCTACATGCCTCTCTCTACCACTGGACCCACAGGTCCTGTTTGTCTTTTTTACCTCTGGCCTCAAGCTCAGAGCTTGGCCTGCGGTGAGCTGTAGATTCATGTTTGCTAAATGGAATAAGGAATCTGCCCCACTTCCCCCAAAGGGATGACATATGTCCAGGTGTTGAAAGTGCTGGGTGTAGAGCAGGAAGTGAGTTGTCCCTGAAACACAAGAGTGCCCTGCTTTTTTCCCAAAGATGGAGGACGGTCCTGTGTGCCCCCCGGTGAGCCCGGGGTTGTGAGCGGCACGCTGTCTTGCCAGCTTCACAACAGGATTCCCTCCTGGATGCTGGGTCTGTGACTGTGGGACTCAGCAAATATGCCGGATTCACTTTTTCCCTTCTCAGCCAATGGTCCTCGCCACCCAATTGCTCAAGCCAAAGCTTCAGGGATCTTCCTTGGCTGTTCTCGCCCTCCTCCCGAATCCGGTCCATCAGCAAGTCCTGGCATCTCTCAGCTTCAAAATCTCCAAAATATTAAAGCTGTGTTTGCTTCTCCACCTTCACTGCAACCACCTCAGTGCCATGTGCTCAGTGGGCCAGTAAATACCATCCCCAGAGGGGCGAAAATTGACTCTTGGGAGGGAGAAAGGTATCTTAGATACTACACTGTAATTACAAAGTACTATCTGGTCCAATATGTCATCCAAAGACCACAATACATATACAATAGATCTGTGGTATGGAAATTTTCTGGGGAGGGGAGGGCAATTAGGAATAAAATGTCTAGGAAGATTCCTGCAGCGGGAGGGAGGGAGATAATGAATATAAGGCTGAGATCCCTGCCTCGCTCAAGACACACTAGATCCCGCCAGGGACCTGCACGGTTTCCTCTCTGACCTTCTGGCCTCCAGTCTTGCCCCCTGACGTTCTTCATACAGCAACCAGAGAGGTCTTATCAAAACATAAATCAGGGGCGCCTGGGTGGTGCAGTCGGTGGAGCATCTGACTCTTGGTTTCGGCTCAGGTCATGATCTCATGGTTGTGGGATCGAGCCCCGCATCAGGCTCCACGCTCCACATATGGAGTCTGCTTGAGCTTCTCTCTCCCTCTCTCTCTGCCCCTCCCACTTGTGCTCTCTCTCTCTCTCACACAAATAAATAAATTAAATTTAAAAAAAAAACAGATTTTTCAGCCTCACCCCAAAACTACTGTGTCAGACTCTTCATGGGAGAGGTCAGGAAATGGGGTATTTTTAATGGTTACAAGCTGGCCCGGGCAATAGATCAGTATTTCAGAAATCCCTCCACCCATAAACATCACCCAGGATGCTTATTAAAAACGCAGATTCCAGGGCGCATGGGTGGCTCAGTTGTTAAGTGTCTGCCTTTGGCTCAGGTCATGATCCCAGGCCCCGCAGCGGGCTCCCTGCTCTGCAGGAAGCCTGCTTCTCCCTCTCCCACTCCCCCTGCTTGTGTTCCCTCTCTCGCTGGGTCTCTCTCCGTCAAATAAATAAATAAAATCTCTAAACAAAACAAAACAAAACGCAGATTCCTAAGCTCCGCACCCAGCGATTTTGATTCAGAAGGACTAGGGTGGCCCCAGGAATGTAAAGATTTTACAAACACCCAGGCAAACCTTCTGATCTGGGAAGACTGAGAACCACCACCCCATATGACTTCATTTACAGTCCTTCACCCCAAACCTGCCCTGTTCCCATGCTCTTAGATACAGTTTTAAAGTCATGAACATAAGAGTGCTGGAATGAGCGGACCCACCTGCGAATAACTTGTGAATAACTGGAACCACCACGAGGATATCAGAGGATTGGGGGCCACGATGCTCGGTTATTACTCCATTAAACTGTCGCCCCTCCCCAGGCCAGGGACCTGCTTAAATAAAGGCCAGGCCAGCAGGGTTCCCAGGAGACTCGTCTGGTCTTAATTTCAGTGTGTCTAAAGTTGGTCCTCGTTTCCCTATAGTTGCTCTCACTTTAGATGTCCTTGTTTCTGATGTTGGATCCTTCTTGGGTTCTTGCTCCAGAACCTTAGCATCTTCTATGACTCCACCTCCTTTGCCCACACCCAGGCCATCACCAGGTTCTGGGGGTCCTGCTTTGGGATGGTTTCCTTTACTACAGGGGCACCCTTTAGGCCCTTCCAGCCTCCCCCTCCCATGCACCAGTCCAAGCCCCGAAATTCATTTTCTGAACTCTTTCCCCACCTGCATAAATCTTTATTTAAATATAAACAAACAAACCACAAAGCACTTTCCCAGCTTCCTGCTACCTGCAGGATAAAATCTCAACCCCTCACCTGACCTCCAAAGTCTCCTCCATCTGACCTCACTTCTTCAGCCTTGTTTTTAGTGAACGCTCGCCAGCAGTCTGGGGTCACTTCCCGCTCAGCCACAGAGAGGTCCAATTCAGGAATTCTGCCCCCACCTGGGATGGCCTCTCGAGCTATCCCCTTTAGTTCAAGATCCCCCACCCCTGCCCTCAGAGAACCCCAACAGCACCCAGCCTGTGACATCACACAGCTCCCCAAGAAAAGTCCATCATCTTTGAACTATCACCTGTGGAAGAATGGAAGAGTGAGCAGGTAGGATGCTAAAGATCAGGAAATGGCCACAACGTGACAACTTCTCCCTACAAAACAGTCATTTCCTCTGGTGTAACCCAATAGCTCTGTGATCTGAAGAAAGGTTGTAGGATGAGATTCATTGTGTTTTGAGGGTTGAAAAAGAAAGGACTGCTGCCCTCCCTGGCGGTGGGTACCCAAGGAGAAAGAAGAAGGCTCATGAGATGGTAGGCAGTGGCCCTGAAACTGGACGTGGGTGCCCAGGGCAGCCGTGCTTGAGGATGGACATTGCTGAGCAGTAAGAGGGGCAACCCGGCTTTGTCCCAGCAGTGCGGGATCATCCTCCCTCAGGAGCCGGGGACTTGTGCAGGGATGGGCATCAGAGAGGTGCCTCCCAGCCTCTGCCTGGGTTTGACCAATGCAGGGCTAAGTTCCAAGAGCGACACCATGTAGCAACGGGAAAGCAAGGCAGTTGATTGGTGGCACTCCTTTGGATGGAAAACTGAACCCCCTTGGGGATGTCTGAACCCCATCCTTGTGTAATTCAGAGGTAAGAAGACCCTCAAGGCAGAAACAATGGGCTTTCTGCCACTAACGCATAAATGACATAGGGCTCCAAGCCTCAGTGTCCCCAGCTGTACAGTGGAGAGAACCCTGTGCGGAAGGTCGTTAGGCCAGATTTACGCAGGCCTTTCTCCCCTCGTTCTGCCCTTGCTTCCAAGTCCAGCAGGAGCCACTGCAAAGCCTTTCTGTGCTTTCTATCTGGAGTTTTTCCAAGGAGAAAACACAGTACGAGGTCAATGGCTTCTTCAGTCTTTTGTAAAAACCTATAATACATCCTGTGAAGAGAAAATGCTAGTTGTCTGATGTGGCAAGGGGAGAGGCAAATGCATGTGAGGATCACAAGAGAGCAAGTCTTTCTAGTGACGAACGTCTGAGAGCCCCTCCCTGCTTCCTGACCGTGTCCTCGGGCTCACAGGGGACGGGCACAGAGCACTGAAGGGAATGGCCCCAGGGCTCCCAGCCTCGCCAAAGAGTCCCCAGTGCCAAGAGTGTCCTGAAGGCAGAGGGGTCCTAGGGCCTGAGGGATGGTGTGGTCTGGGCCAGTGGGCACCGTGGTGGTGAGGGGACAGGCGATGGTATCAATACACCCGGTGGAGAGAGGGGACTTCCAAGGGTGGCTGGGTAAGGGCTTGGAATCGGAAATGAAGTGATTTAAAGAAAATAAAAGTGCATTTCGTGTGCCTAGAGCCTTTGGCATGGTGTCTGGTCCCCATGTGCAAACTGAACATTACATGTTATGATTATCGTTGTCGTGGATGCTGAGGGTGGTGTGCGCCACCGGAACAGCCCCTCCCGGGAGCCAGCACCTGCCCTCGCTTCCTCTACACAGCCTGACTCCTGCAGCCTGCTCACCTCTCGACAGACTGTGAGTTAGTTAGTCCAGAGCACCACGGACGCTCACGCGTCTACAGAGGAGAATTCATGTTTCTAATTGTGGAACAGGAAGCTGCTTCTTTGGGCTTTTGCTCTTAGAAGGCACCTCTTTTATGCTCAATTCACTTGGCAATGAGAAGCGATTCTTCCTCAAAGGAAAAATAATAATTGGCTAAAGCTGAGCAACAAGAAGCAAAAGCCCTTCCAGCTGCTGTTATTCTTCAGTCTAGCTGTGACCCGGGCCCCAGATACTTCCCAAGCCTCTTGAGAGATCCCAGAACCTCCATGGGGGAGGGGAGTGCTGGACCTCGGCTCTCAGCCAGCAGGGATTTCCTTTGCAGAGAATTCCAGAAAAGATGAACCTATGAGTTTCATGATCACCCAGAGCCAATTTAGACAGGTCATCTGGTCTCCTTAGAGCCAACTCTTAAAACCTCTGTCCAGTGATCCCGATAAAAAGTTCATGAAAGGGGAACAGACACGGGGCAGAGGGGGGTGTCCTAGGAGGCAAAGGAGGCCTCCTTTTTGCAGAAAACCGGATCAAAGGTGTCGGTCAAGGCATATCCTGTGATTCCCTCAGCAGAAAAGAACACTCTGCCCCACCATTTCCCTAAAGAATCCTAATGTTCAGGCCAAGAGGTACAAAGTGCCTCTTCTGGAAACCGCGGAGCCGGAACCACCCAGAAAGTGATACCAGCCAGGCGTGGAAATTCCTGCCACCAGGGGCCGCTTGTACTTACCCGTGACCCTCCATAGTTTAAAGCCCAAACACAGAAATGTTGCTTAAGCTCTTCGGTAAAGTGATACCGCAAAGCATTCATGACCTAAAAATTTCATTGTCTATTGTCTATGATGGGGGGTGGGGGGGTGTCTACCTTTCATTTTTTCATTTTTGTTCCTTGGAGCTCCTGTTGATTTATTCTTTTAAGAACTGTAATTATAGCCTCCTGGAACCCCAAGCGGGTTCTTCCAACCGGATCAGGCACTGAACCCACAGACAGTTACTAACTGCCTCCAGTGTTCTTGTCCCGAGTCTGTTCTGGGGACTGAATGTTCACGTCTGCTGGCCCTCTGCTGGGGAACGCCCCCAAAACTATGGGTGCCAAACACCACATGGGAGAAGTCTATTGGACTTCTTCCCAATAGCCACAGCAGGGAAATCAGGACCTCCTGGGGGTCATAATGAGGAGCCACTGACCGATGGGCCACACCCGCACTGGCCAAGTTCTACTGCACCCGTGTGGCCTTCTTAATTTCTGGAATTCATCCACCAGCCTCCCTGGGACTCAGGGTACCTGTCACGTTAGTAATAGTTTTTGAATCCTGTCTGATCATCTGGTACCATCATTGGCTACCCCGCAGGAATACAGACCCCAACTCACCACGCATGAGACACCCCTGATACGTCCTTTTGGTAGCCTTCATGTTTTTATTTTAAGTTCTGCTAATGAAGATAAACAACCTGGAGTACTGCTGGAATGGAAGGAAGCCCATAATTGCTAATTCCATTGGGCAGAAAACATTAATTCTCTGACCGTGCAGGT